TATTATCAGCCGATTGACAAAATGGTCTCAGTATAAATATTATTTCATTAAAATAACGTCCGTTTTAAGTATATTACACGTCAGTAACATTAAATAAAGGTCTACAATTTAGATGATGGGATTATCAAGCGATAGCTAACGAGTAAATCTTGGGTATCGATTGTAGATATAAAAAATGTTGTATTATTTATTAATAATAGAAATTTAGGCGAGAATAAAACGCTAACTATGGTGTATGTTGTTTTCGTATAAAATATATTACATTTTAGATAGAACCAATGTTTTTAGCTAAGCTTTAATGTTAAAGTTAATCTGTATATTAAATTTAAAGGAAATAATATAATTAAGGATTAAGCGTCGGCTTTTTCAATATTTTAATTTTAAATAGGATATGAGAATATGAAATATTAAAATTGCTAATACCTTTTTTGAAAATTAAAATATTGAGAAGAACCTTATGCTTTGGCATTAATAATTTTCCTATCTTTAAGTTTGATAAAAGATCAATTCACTAAGCTAACAACGAAAAATCCGTTCTGCTGAATTAAAATTTAATATGTTTTACGTTTATATGATAGAAACGGGTAGACAATTCATGTATGATTAGCGTCCTCTTAATAATGTGTTACAATATGGTATTATGTTAACACTTAATCATTAATTGGTTACTAATACTTAATAGTAAGGCGTAGCACGGCGTTAAATTATATTATATTGTATAATTTGTTGAGTTATAAATTGCCCGTTTAACTGTCGTATAACACACGAAGACTTACGTTTGTACGCGTTATCCAGCCGTATAATAAAGCATTATAATTACCTATTATTATTATTATTATTATTAAAAAGCTATGTTATTACGTTGGTCATTTCTAAAACAAATAACTCATAAAAAACTCAATTTGTAGTATCAATGGTTAAATATATTTATTTATTTACATCAAATATCACACCAGTATCACATATACACCAACTGTTCATGCATTTATTACAAGGTATGAATTGTCCACATTGTAAAAGGTATATTCGCAAGCGGAGCACTTTTCCATCGTCGGCTAGCCAATCTTAGAAAAACACGGTCATTATTATTTATTTGCACTTTCAACCTTTGTCGAGCTGTTGAATTCTCGATCAAAACGTATCTACGTCGAAATCCATTAATTTCATAATATGTATCCATGAAGAGTGTATGTGAAATGTGTGACTGTGTGACGAAATTCCAATGGAACGGCTCTTGTTGTATCAATACGTGTTAGAAATTTCATAATATCCGGTCCAAGAAGACCTATTATCTGTTACCTAAAAAAAAGTTATTACTAACAATAAATGTTTAATAATAATTTTATTATATTGATATTTATACAATTATTATAAAAATAATATAATAAACCCAAGCATGTCATTATGGAAAAGTGACGGTCCTATAAAGGTATAAAACTTCCCAAGGCGTTCGCACCTTATAGCCACTTTCTTCTAAGTATCAGGTACCTATATTTTACTCGTTCAAATATAAACATAGCATTGGATTACTATATAGCTGACTAATTTTATATTATATTATTATATAATAATATTAATACAATGGTACTTCCTTTTGGATTTTTAACTCGGGCAGTAATATTTTACTATCGTCATCCGCATATTATTTCAATCGCGTTCTGATAACTGTCCATACAGGCACATTGTGCGCCGCTCATCGAACTATATCGTCACGATCTCGCTTTTTGCGTTAATTAAATTATTATTATACATCATTGAGCGCGCGCGCGTGTGTGTATGTATAAATATATACAAATCACGAAGTCCAATCCTCTCTCTTGCACGCCTCGTCGATTATAATTATGTATATTCATAATATTATGCGTATGCAATATATATATATATATTATGTATGTACTAAGAAATTAAAATTATATTTTTAAACCATTGGTATATTATAATATATAGATAAACATATTATTAGTTCTATAACTGAATTCTGAATAGACTTTTGATTGGATGCGAACCAAAAACATTGCACTACTACATGTAGAGCTATTGACAAGATTATTCTATGATAAACTAATAATAACTAAATATAGATTCAAGACAAATTTAAGACACGAGTAATTAAAAATTGAATCGTTTGATACCGATATCATTGATATCGTTGATGATATCGTTTGATAGATACATTATTATTAGGTATTTATTTATATAATTAGAAGAAAGTTTCAAATTGTAATTTCCAATTAGTTGACTTTTGTTTGACTTCCTAAAAAATTTGCACCGTTTAATTGGAGTAATCTCAAACCTCAAACTTGTTACATTTAAAAATAAAATCTTTAATTAAATAGCTAATTGAACAAATAGATAATAAAAAAATTACCTACTATACTATATAAACTCTTTCAAATAGTATAATGTATAATAAACTATAAATTTAAATGATCCACAGTTTGAAGAACACTTAATTTTGATTAGGTTGTCAATTTTGCTGTTATACTTCAAAGAAAATAATTATGTAATTACTTCATTTATGTTTTACATTCAAAATGTACTTTTCTAAATACTTGCAAGTATATAATATTAAGAAAATGTAAAAAAAATATTCTTAAATATAAAAAGAAGTATAGAAAGAAGAGACATTCTGGTCTTTCCCTCCAAATGTAAATGCTTTATTTATAAACTTTGTGTACGCATAATGGAATATATATCATTGAGCCGATCTGAAAGCTCTTTTGTCACATAACCCCAATAACTGGCGGCGGCCAATAGTCTTTCTCTTCTTGCCGACATCGGTTTTTAATCCTAGTTGTTCTGGCGCCAATAATGGCTATTTCCCTGGTCTCATCTCAATTTCCACAAGTCTATACAACGCCTTGTTCACCAACTATCGAGTTTAAGCAATTACACTGGATTTAATGTAACTGTAGTTTGGTGGAAACATTTGTATAATTAGTATACATACATGATTAATCGGTTATTTGCAATCACGTATGAAGCATCAGTCAACTGTTTTTTTTTTTTTAATGTTTAAAATAACAACATGCTACTATGATAATTATTTCAGGCACCGACTACGTGATTATTAATTGGTGATTACAATATTTACGTTGCTCAACTGTTTTATTTCTTGTACTTCTATGCAATTTATATAGTCAATAAATTTTCTAAAAACCAACGGAGAAAAAATAAACTTAAAAGTGAATGTATTTTTAAGCTAAAAGAAGAGGTTTGATATTTAATCAATAAAATATATACTCATAAATCATTCTAGAAAATTGCTGGTTTAATTATTTTGTATATATATTATTCACATTCAATATGTGCTTAGGAACATAGATTCCTAACCTTGTATTAAGAGTCTTCACAGCCAGTGAACATATATTATCAATAAATTATGACATACAATTAAGCTTACCATTTTGGGTCTAGATCAAAAATTAATTGCAATTATTGAATAATTAAATTGTTTAACACTGTCTTTAATGAACTATAATATTATTGCAAATAACTACTATCATTGATTAAATATACCTAAATAGCCCTGTTAACAAGAAATCAAGTTAATAGAAACCTATAAATAGTAGTTTGGGAGTCTGAATTTAGATAGCGCTTAAGTAATTTTAAACACTATTACAATCACAGTGGTAACCATGATTGCTGTGTTGGTATTTATGGTTTACATAACAATTACGATGATCCATAAAATTTAATTTAACTGACAACATGATACTACCTACTTTACTATCAATGCTATATACTGTTCATCTGTTAATTTAATGTATATATAATCGATGTTACCTATAATATAATTATTATTGAGTGTGTTGAATTTGTACAACGATCTTAAGATAAAGTTAGTAAAATATTATTATGTAACTTAACACTGTCAATTCGTTAAAGTTACCTTTATTATAAAATTATATAGCTACGATTAAATTTATTCTTACGTGTGTAATAAAAAGTGTATATTTTAAAAATGTGCACTTAGTCTAAAAGTAACCGATACTAAGAAAATGTTATACCAACTAGAAATGTTAAATATTATTTTATAATATATTAGTACAATAAAAACACGATTTAAGGCGATTATGTATTTATTCTATCATATAAATATTTTCTGCAAATAAACAATTCACTCGCAATCTATTTTAGTTAATAATAAAAAAGGTTATTGATTTTTTTCCTAGTTGGTAAAGAAAAATGTATTATCTACAAACATAGGTATAGCTATTTGATTTTTAAAGTCAATTTAATCTCTTTGAAAGAAATACGGTTGGTACCCCTTTCTACCAAATGTATTCTTTTTTTTCCTTTTCCAGAAATACAACCATAGTCATCAAATGAGATATTGATAGATTCCACGTTTTCACCAAAACAATTCCTAAACTTTTAAAAGTTATTACTTAGTTATCCTTTCACTTATTCGTCCTTACCTTGTGTGCGCTCGACACAAGCGGGAAACTGGGATAACTCATTGCAATTAAATTGAGAAAATATTAAATTGAATTCATCGGTTGATTGTATATTAATGTATAACTTATAAATTATAGAATATAATAATAAATATAATGACTGTGATATTAGTTATCGCATTGAAGCAAAAATATATTTTAAGAGTTGAATTTTTAATTTTTTAGGTGCTTCTGTTTATGATAAATACATAGACTTAATAAATATCGTATATATCAAAAATGTTGAATGAATTAATTCTGTGTTAAATGTAAAAGAAATTAAAATGAAGACAATATTTGATTTTTTTTCATTAATTTAAATGATAGTAATACGAAATATGAGCAAAATAATAAGGTATATTATTTTTATTTTCACAATATTTAACTTATTATTTTTTATGTACAAAATATTACTTTCTAAAACAAATTTAATATAATAAATAAAATTTTTAAAAAACGTACGTAAAATTTTAAGAAAACTGATCAAACAACTAATGTATACATATTAATTAAACATAAAAAAAATAATAATAATAATAAATGAGATGATTATGATTATAATATGATGAGAGACATTAGAAATTTAAATACATCTCTAAACTTAATCTACTTAAGGCAGTTTATTTAAACAGCTTTTGTTTACTATAATATAATCACAACAATTTAATATAGATTCATGAGTTTTTTTTTTTTTAAATCACAGACTTCATAAACCTTAAATGTATATCGATTTTTACCATTGAGTCTTTTCTAATTTGATTTTGAATTGTTTTTCATCGGGGTAATCTATAACAAAAAAATAAAAATAAAGAAAATAGAAAATTAGGCTTGTACCTTTTTTCCTTCTTACCTAAAATAATGGGTTCACTTAACAATCTTAAGAATACGAAAAAATTTCTAATTATGACAACTTTATGTTGAAGTGCTGATGGTTTAATATTTTTGAGATGATTAATATTTAAAATATTTTTCATTATTTAGAAGTAGTTTTTATTTAATAATATAAATTAAATATTGATAATATTCAAAAAAATATTTTTTTTTATTATTTTTATCAACTAAAAAATTAATATTAATGTTACCTTTTTAAATTTTTTTTTTTTTTTTTAATGGTTTATTATTAATAATTATTTATTTTATATTTATACATTTGAAATAACTATAACCTCCATAACTAGATAGTACCGGTTTCATAAAAAGTGGTCTATATTGAAATATGTTTTACTTTTGTAAGTAGAATGCTCATAAAGTAAATTTATCCGGTCTTCCTGTGTAAACCATGTCATATATTTAAATTTATTTTTAATACTTACGTATTGTCTGAATATTTGTTGTACTGGCTAAATCCGATTGAATATGAGGTTTGGGTAAAATATTATTTTTGGACCAATGTTTCTACATCAAACAAAAATAAATAATAATCAGTGTTTTTTTTTTTTTAATGCAAACTATATTATAAACTATAATTTATTATAATTTCAACGAATAGCCATATTATTAAAAATATTTTCATTTTACATAATTAATATGAGTTTGTAATGTTAATATGTAAGTTTTATATGTAACTCACCGTAGATGATTGTGGTGAATGGTTTTTTACATGTTTTCTTAGTGAACTTGGATCAGTGTACCGTTTGTTACATCCACTTGCTGTACAGGCATATGGTTTCTGTAAATAATAACATTTTATTAGAAATATGAAATCAAATTTAAAATGTGGTCGTTGAAAGAGCTTGATTCGTTTTTTTCATAAATACTTAACGTTTATTTAAATATGATCTTGAAAACTAAATAATCTGTTGAGAGGATTCTTTATTAAGTCGTTTGAGAAAATTTGAATCATTAAAATATTTTTATAATATTACTTTTCTTAAATTACAGTGTCTAACATGTTAGATAAGGTTTATAGTATGAAAATGCTATTTAGAACTGTCTTATACGATTTTCAATTAATAAGTGTAAATTATAAAAAAAAAAAACATATTTAATGAGTCATTCATTTTTAAATAATTGATTTAATAGATGCCAAAAATAGCATCAATATTTCAAAAAACAAATATTATTAAAAATTATTATGACTTATAGCTAATGATATGTTTTAAATAGTAAGTATTTATATTTGAAGACACGGCATTCTATATATGCAATTTATTAACAAACATGTGTATACAATTAAAATAGGCTTATTCATATACAATATTATTTTATTTTTTTTATATATTTTTTTTTGATTGTATAGACTATATAATAATAATAAATGCAAAAATATTTTTTTAATAACTAATGATACTTAAAATGTTGTGTTAATAGTTAATACTAAGTATGTGTTTATTTAATCTTTAATAACTTATTGAATGATATATTTTAATGTACCTAAATGAGATAAATTAGAAGAATAAAATAATAATATCGAACGTGATTTAATAACTGATAATATTAGCGAAAGTTTAGTCGATGAAAATAAAACAAGAACAATCTTAATATTCATAGTTTTAAAACAATTTTTACACTATATTATTCAAATACAATTTTGTCTTCCGTAAATTGTTATATTTTTTTTACATAATATTATCTATAGCTCATATTTTGATGTGATAGTTATTATATTGGTATACTGAATCATAAAAATAATGATGAATTTTATCTCTACTATTCTGAATATAGTTTATAGTTACATAATAACTTGCTGTTGTTATACAATTATATTGCTCTTGATATAGAAAATGGTAATCGAAAAAATCACGACCTCAAAATAATAAGCTATTCTTATTGTTCGTGACTTTCATTCGAGAAAGTTTTATAACTTCGATATAATTTATATTTCTCTCGTATAACTGTTGATATAAGTTTTATTCGTTAGCATAATGTAATTTATTTGATGACGTTTTTTCTACGTTCATAAAGTTAAAAGTAATTTATACCACACAACTTTTATTTATTAAAATACAAATTATCATAAGATACGTATAATAGTATGTACTTAAAATAGTAGGTAAATAAATAAAAATATTTTGTGTATTTATGTTAGATAGTATAACTATAATATAATTGTATTTCTAATATTATACCATTGTTAATATTTTTTATTTGCTTATAAAGGTATTAGTACTATTTAAATATAATAATAATAAATTACCTGTTCAAAATGAGTTCTTTGATGTTTCGCTCGATCCGAACTGTTACTGAACGCTTTTGAGCATCCCAAAAATTGACATGAATATGGTTTTTCACCGGTGTGTGACCGCTGATGAATTTTTAAATTCTCTAGTCTAGAGAATGCTTTTGGACAGCCAGCAAACTGTTAGTAAATACATAAAATTATAGGTATACTTAATTATTTCCTACTAACAAAATTTCTAGTAAATAAAAAATTAATATTATAATAAATTGCATAACTAAGATCGAGAATAATCGATGATATACCAGCTATTATAATTTATATATATTTACATACAGTCCATGGATATAAGAATAGGACTGAATAAGGAGTTTATATTCTTAATAAAAAAAATAAAAAAATACGTACTCTTTCTATTATAACCTTTCTTATTATATCTTAATTAATGAGACAATAATTAAATACTACCTAAGCTTTAAATACGCACATTAAAAAAAAAAAAACTTTTTCATCGCTTTTCTAATATTTTTTTCCGATACATGCGCTGCTTATAACTATATTTTATAATACTTATTTAATGTTTATGATCAGTATTAAATTTGTAATTTTACTAAAATAAATTCACAAATATAAAGGAATTATAAATTATAATGAATACATACATTATTTTAAAACTTTATAATATTTTTACGGTAAAGAAGCATATTTTGTTATTAATATTAATTACCTAGAGAAATAATAAATCAGATTTTTTATTTATTTGTGTTATGAGGACAATTATTTTTGTTGACGCTATTACAAATTATTAAGGATTGATTGACTTTTAAGACGTTTCGATAACGCGTGTCAAGTGGATCAAATATGGGTGACACACCGACATATTTACTTATTATGCATTGAGTAACCGGGTTGCGTATATCAGACGATATATATACAAATTGCACATCGAGTGTTGTCTATATAAAAAAAGTTATATCTGATATGATTTTTTTTATCGAGGAATCGACATTATAAAAAAAAACACATTAATCTTTCGTAAAATATAGCTGTCACTGATCACGTCGATTGGACATAACATTGCAAACATATTTTATCTATGTATGTACACGGTATACATTATTATATTGTACATCTACACGCCGCACGCAGAGTATCAGTCCATGCGCATGTGCACTCGATATTAGCACTCTTCGGCGGCGTTGGATATTTGGATGCTGCGTTCTATGTAACATTAGACATCATACTGCGCCGAGCGCATTGGTATATAGATATTACTTATTAAAATATCACTATCGCCCGTAATATTAAATGCGCGTCGCGATACGATATAAACGGTGGGTAGAACTATTATTATAACGTATAGTTGGTCGCGTTACATGCCCGTGACGTGCAGCACAATTTCTTATGATATTATATAATTTGGTACGTTGAAATTTCAGTGTACATCTATTGTATAGACTCTGTACAAAAATGACAACATCATTATTGTTAACATGTCGAGCGATAATGGAGGTGGAAAAACCCATATAATACACCACAACGGGTATGGTGGGAATTTTAAATCGACTTAACTTGTGTTCCTTTGAAATTCAAAATAAAACGTTATTAATTTTTCCTTTTTAATTTTGATATATAAATCGATACTAAATGTATCATCGTATAACAAGATCATGACATTCTCAAGTATATTTCCAGAAAAATTATTAATTAACTACTATAGGTAGGTACTAATACAAATTATTATTGTCGTTAGTGATATTGAATTAAGTCTAGCTTATTATCTTATTATTTTTGAATTGAGTCCGTATAGTTAAAATGTCATAACTACCTAAATAGCCGGTTACATACAATATACAATACTTATTATTACAATTAAAGAAAGTGACTCAACGCAAATAACCTATATATTGGTCGGACTCAACTCCGATAACCCATAAATATTTGCGGGACTTAATTCAATGTCACCCCTCGTCGTCACCGTCTTCATATTTTATTATCTGTTGTCCTGTTTATTATAAGCATTTTCCTCTATTATCAAGAGTAGGATATTGATATCTAATATTTGTATGAACGATGAAGAGGTCATTTTTAATGTCACAAATATTTACTTTATAGTTAGTTTTATATTATATTATTCTGTATACAAACTATACAATTATGTGTGAACGTTATGATTAAAAAAATATATAGTATACCTATAATTGTATTCTAACCACCCTTAATATTCGGTATGCAGTTGCACTTTTAGTGTTTCCTACTACTCTCCAATTTCCGGATTCTGCCGCTTGTTAGAAATTTCAAATAAGGCATATATTTATAAATTAAATTATCTGACAGTTGTATGCAATAATAATAATAATAATGGTTAATTAATTTATAGTTATAATTTAAACTAATATGGGTCATTCGATAGTTCCATTTATTTGGGAGAAATCTCATGCATCTCGATATGAATAAACAGTCAAGTTTTAGATGAGCAATTGTCCTTGGGGCTTGGATCTTAACGTTGGACACGGGAAAGAACGATATTACATGGTACGTTCTATATGATGTGTACAAGGCCGCGCAGTATTAATATATTATTATATATGTGTATATACTACATTTTTAAACTCCGTGATTTTGGTCAGTTTATACTCGTACGTATATATTTTATTATATTGTATACTATGTTTGTAGGAGGCACTTACCGTGCATTTATTGGGCTTGTCGCCCGAATGCACTCGCATGTGTATGAGCAGCTTGTACCGGGCGTTGAACGGACGCACGCGCCTGGGGCATCCTCGCCACTGGCACGTGTACTGCGCGCAGGCGCCCCGGGGAGCGGTGTCCACGTGCAGTTTCTCGATGTGCCGTACCAGCGGTTCTTGACCTGGGCCATCGACTTTTACCGTGCACCCTTCCCATTCGCACGCCAATACTCCGTCGCAGGGATTGCCTGCAAAAATGACAGAGAAACAATATGAACTAGCTGTATAAAATTCTAGGAGGGGCAAAATAATGTATTCACCGAAATCAATACCATAACCTAATAATTGTTTGTTTTTACACAATTTTTAAGAATTGACTTAAAAACAAATCGTAGGTACCCGTATCGTTAAATAATATCAAGTAGGTGAATTATAGTTTGTTTAAAAAAAAAAAGCACAATTATTATTCGATTGAAAAAAATAATGTGATGACAAAATTGTATCTAAAATAAAATCTAAAGCTTTATTGTCAGTACATTAACACACGTAAAGAATATTCATTATTTTTTTCATTTGACAAAACAATAAAATCATTTAATAAAATATTTATGAGAAATAATAATGAACTTTTTAATTTTTACGAAATACGATCAAGGTCAAAAGAGTATGTGGTAGGATATATATATGCATGAACATAAGACAACTTGTATTCTAGTAAACCACATTTATAATGATATTTGTTGGCAAGCGACCGATTTTATTATAGACCAAAAGAGGGAGATGTTGTGCATATAAAGCGCAACTTTTAAAAAGGCATCGAACCGAGATTGCTATGGGTGAGTATAATATCAGTATATATATATCGTAGGATATGGGTGTAGGATGAGAAATTATAGTTACGAGGAAGGTTTGTATAATATATATATATATATTGTTGTATTATACTCGGTGTTTATAGATAGCGTATCAAAGTGGAGCGAACGCGATGCGACATTGCGACGACAGTGAATCACGTGCACCGACCGACGATAGGAAAATATAACAATCGTTACTGCAGAAAAGCACTCTAAAGGTCGAAGACCCCAAGCATGGCTGCTGTGCTCACCCTCGCGTAATTGGCCCCGGTTTTCTAGGGTATACGCGCATATAAATATGTAAAACTATAGAGTTTTTATTTCCTCCCGTTGCTGACTAAAAGCAACTTCTCTGAAACTCCTTATCTCATACCCTACCGCTCCTTGGAGCACTACCACGACCATCCTATCTTCCACCAACTACCCTGTTATTGTCGACTACGTAGTACTATTTAGGTTACGAATCCGGCGTCTTGGTTTTCATATTCGTAGTTGTACGTGCATGTAATGTTAAACATATACAGTGTATATTGCACACAGGGTTCGCGCATAACAAGTAATATATTGGAGTACCGCACGCTAGTACGTGCGTTCTTAGAATGGAAATCAATAGTTTGTTTTCATCTACTAACGAAAATTTTCGTTAGTACAATCTTTCCTATTTCTATTAACATGCAACGTATTTCAAACTACTAACTTTTTTTTAAAAACGTTTTTAATATTGATTTACAAGTGTACGAAAAAATGATTTGTCGGTGCGTGTGAGACCGGTGCGTTCTAGGCACCAAAATTAGGAGAACCGCTATTTTTCATAAATTAGCTAAGTCGTTTCATACTATAATATAACAGATTTTATTTAATTCAGAATCTTTCATAAATTAAATTATTTACTATATAAATTCGCAGAGGAGAATAAATTACAAAATTATTATAGGTAAATTGTAAGCTTATTATGGGAATCCGATTCAATTAGATCACAATGAACATTTATACTAAAATGAATACAACAACTAAATTTATAAAATGCAAACCTGATAATCGTGAAAATACATGCAAAATTCGTACTAAATGATATTATGGCAAAAATATTAGAATATATTACTACATTTTCAAATAATTCAAGTTTATTGTGTACAGCAATATTTTGATACTAGAAATTATAATATAGTTTATTAGTTTATATAATAATATTATTTAGTAACCACGAATTCATCGTAATAAATACTCGATGTCAAAATGTCAATGTTTTTTTTTCTATTAATTTAATAGTATATTTGTATTATTATGATGTTGGTAAAACAAAAATAAAGTCAAGTACATGTATTTAAGAATATGTGTGGGCAACAATCATATGAGTATACTATGCAAAATACGTATTACTATTGATAAGTTATAAGCATTAATAAAAAAAATAATAAGTATGATGTACGTGTTAATTATAAAAATAAAAACAACAACTCTTAATTGTTCAAATTCTAACATTTTGTTATTATTATCATTATTTTTTTTATGAAATGTATTCAGTTAAATTATATTATAGATATAGATAATTAATATTTTGAGAAACATGGAAAGTAGTTAAATATATTGCAATATTTCCTCGATCAAAAAATTAAATTTAGGCATATTTTAAACATAAAGTGTAATAGGAAATAAAAAATATTTTAAGTGTATAGATTTTTGGGATTTAAAAATACAATATAGTAATTTTATATTTATACATAATATTATATTATTTTAAGCAGATTAAATTTGATTTGAATAAAATATATATATTTTTACCTTGGTAAAGTGGTTCCAAGAATGTGTCGTACATTATAGCATCACAATCGTCTTTCGCCATTACCACCTTTATCAAAAAAATTATAATATGTATCAAGTAACAACTAATAAAAACATAATACAAAGTTATTATAATAATTCACCATCAGGCAATGGCTAAATACATAAAACAAAACAATAAACTACATGTATTATGTAATTGAAATATGTATATCTTTTTATTTTGTGTATTGATTTACAGATCAGTATCAATAGCACTGATATTTAAAAACTCCCCTCCTTTATTTATACAGCTTTTTTAAGTAATTCTTTAATCCATTTATCCATAACTTCTTTAGAATTCCTCTTCTTCCTTTTCCCGTCTTTCCTTCTACATATTTTATCTCTACAACCGCTTTTACTGCCTCTGAGGTTCCTATTTTCATAACATGACCCAACTATCTAAACTTATCCCCTATTTTTTCAACAAAATCGGTAACACTTCTACTACACCATTAATAAATGTATTTATTATTCTATCTTTCTTAGTCATTCCGCACATCTTTTTTAGCACTCCAATATCTGCTAAAACTGTCCTCTGTTCTGTTTTATTATCTAATAATGCTCAAAATTCCATATGACTAGGATCACAACCTGTTTGATAAATTTACCTTTTGATTTCAACTATAACTCTCTCTATCCCTTAATAATAATAATTATAGTTATGTGTAAAATGTATATCCTCATAATTATAAAATCATATACATTTATACATTTTAATATTTACGAGTATATGATTATTTCTATACGAACCTGATTGTCAGAAGCTAGAAACGATTTATTAACTGAGTCGTTCGTTAAAAATGGCATGTCAAAACAAACTTCTTCATCGGCGATAATTGTGTGTCCAAATGAATCAAATTCTTGGACTTTCTGAAATATCACCTTAATATTACTTAAGAAATATTTTGTTTAAATGTTTATACAGTCTATGTTTTTAATAAATACATTTTCATTATTTTATAACCACTTTCAAGTTTGGTATAACAATAAGCAAATATATAGATTTTCAACGAAAATATTTAATACATTTTATTTAGAATACTATGCTAATACAAAACACAATTACTCATTATTACGATAAATTTTAAATGCTTTAACTATATTGACTACTTCAACGTGGATATAGAAATTATTATTATAAGTTTCACGTAACGGTACTAATTTTTGCGTAATAAATCAAAAAAAAAAAAAAAAAATTAAAAAATTAAATAAAAATAAACTCAATAGTTTTTTAGTGGAGAATTGAGTTATTATTATATGCATAAATATTAAATAACTAAAAAATCCTTTACAAGTAGGTTTTTCATTAATTTTGTCCACCCCCATCACTTATCAGACCCAAACATGACATATTATTTTATAACTGCACCACTATAGATAAATATTAGCTAAATGATAATTAAACCTATGTTGTTTCATTTATTTTAAACTCTAGTAACGTACTTAAGTGCACTCTCTTCTTTGTAGATTTAACAAGAAAAAACCATATCTTTAAAAATAAACACGATTGTTTGATATTATGTATACATTATTATATGTTATGTTAAGTAATAAAAAAATACTTTGTTGGTATATTACATTATTTTTGTATATTTAGTTGTGCAGAATAAAAGTTTAAATATAACATGTATTATATGGGTATACGTGATACAAAAAAAAACACAATCATTTTAATAATAGAAAAACTATATCTTACTGTTATTTGTATAAAAATATAAATCAAAATATTATTTATTTTGTATTTTACAATTATTATAAATTTTAATTATAACATTTAAATTACTTTTTAGTATTAGCCTAGCTATAAGAATTAATTTACTATTATCTTATTTTTATTGATTTTTAACTATTTTCATCTTATACCTTAATATTAGAACAAAGAAATAATTGAATGATAAGTTTATTTTATTTTAATATTTAAGTATTATTGAATGATTTAAAAGTTAAAACGATCTGTTAACACATAAGTCGTAACTAAAAATGATTATTTGGTTTCTGAAATCAAACACGTCCTATTGCCCATTGCGTTTATATTTGTTAATCAAAATGAGTATGCTTTATATAAAACTTTCCGATCATTTAAAATTTTTAGAAATTTAACACAAACCGATTACATAAAAATATGTTATAAATTCAAACATATTTGTATAAAAGCCATATTTCTATCGTGATAAAAGCGTCGTTTTGATAATAATTGTGTCGTGGATATTATAATATAGACAAAAATAATATGTTAATTTAATATTGAAAACATCTCACCAATAATTCAGATGATGTTGAGGTAGATGGTGGTGACCCTAAGGCGTATGGTTTTCGGATCCTGTGAAGTTGGTCGGAGAAACTCCTGGTGCCGGGTATCATGGGTGGTAAAACGGGCGGTGGTAACGAGTAATCTTCATCGTTGTCATCTTCGGAATCGGCTGATTGTTGGTGTTGTTGGATGAGCCATGCGGACGACTCGATAGTATATGACGGGTAACCATCACGATATCTCTGGTGGTCACTATTATTTTCTGTAGCCATGGATCGTGATACCGGTGCCGACGATGTGGGCGATTCGGGTCGACCCAAAAGTTCTTCGTCAAACCAATCTAACCCCACATCCTTCATCCAATCCTGTGGTTCGGGTCCCAGACAGTCAGCAAACCACATGTAAGGATCCGCGTCGTTTTCGATCTTCATCGTAAATCTTTCGCTGGTCTTTTCAATATTTTCGCGATAAACTAATTAGAAATAAAAGTAAACCTACGCAGAGGCTTTTCAAAGCAGCAGTATAGTTTTGATTGCCTGAGTATTTATTTTTAATTGTTATGGAACACTGACTTAAATACTGTTAACGTTGATTAACTACTGTCACAATACACTAAAATTATAACAAAACAATAATGCAGTATAGTATCTTAACGTAGGTATAGCGTATTTAGTGGCGTTAGTCTTAGATGTATGATTACATGTGTACGCGTTCGTCCTCGTGTCCTGTGCAAGACTGGCTCCTCGTCACCTCGGAGAACACATCATAGGTTCGAAGGGACATTTTTTTTTTATTCCTCTGGTATATTAATCACCGAGTCCGCACACGTGATTTTCACCTCCTCCGCCTTCCCATGTCCACTGTCTTTATGTACAACGCCTCGATCCCTGTCGCCATTACCGAGTGTTTAGCTCGCGTTTTAGACGTCATGTTTTTTTTTTACTCTTTATTTTTATTTTTTTTTCCGTTGTCATCTTTCAATCGGATAATAATAGTTGATGAATATTATTGTGTTATTAATTATTATTATTATATATACACATGCGTATGTGTGTTTACGGCGAATAACCATCATAAGACGACGACAATAACTGTAGAAAAAAAAGTTTGAATATTGTGTTGAAAAAACAGTCAAGTGCTACCATACCGTATGTACACAAACATGTGTACGCCATCGATGGTCGTCCCCTTTTTTTGTTTTTTACTACTATGCAACTATATTATATCATATACTGTACATAATAATTAATAATAATACCTCCTCAACCGCGCAACATGTCAATTAAACGGGACGGAGTACATTTGGTGACCACAAATGCATATAATAATATTATATTATATACGAGCGCGTAACGTTTTTTGTTTTTTTTTTTTTGTTTTTACAGACTTTTTCTTTTCGTATTTCGATATCTTTGAGGTCTGAGCATACACCGTTTTGTAATGAAGCGGTAAAATAACGTTGCAAGAAAAACGCAAAGGGACACGTATATTATACAGATATATATATATATATATACATATAAATACAATATACACGAGTATTATCGATATTAATATTGTTTGCTGCTTATATTTGTTTTAACCGAAGAAAATATTGTTTGATTTATTGCTGAATCTTGATAGTTAAGCTGGGTTGTATTAAACACAATTAATAAAATAATAGTTTTAGTATTAAAATCTTTATCACGTTGATTGTTTATATTCTCCTTTCGCTTTTCGCAGTATGGAAGGATTCGAGATTGGTTTATTCAAAAAACTTAAATTCAATTTTACATTTAATTATTAATTTTATTTCAATATAAAACGTTATTATTTAATTTTTTTTCAAAATGTTTAAACCAAAGTAAAAATGTACATACAAATAACAATTATTTAAAATATTATATGTTGATGATCAAGTATATAAATCGTTAATATAAATACATAATTTATTATTGCATTGTAATTTATAAAAGAGAACATAATATTAAAAACAATTATTTGCCTAAAAATATGTAATAGACTATAGATACCATATTTGTTTTAAATATAATGCATAAACAATTTTGCACAGGTATAATTATAGAATGATTTTAAATTATTAATAAAAACATTCGAATTTTAAATTGTTACAAGACTCGGAAAAATATATTGTATCTCATTTAAATTATTTTTCAATGTACCTATCTGATAAGAAGTTTATAATATTTTTTTGAACAAATTTAAATACTTATCAAAGATTCAATTTTTCATGATTCTATTATATAAGAAAATATATTTATAAATGGCGTCGTTTGATAAATGTGATATAGTTATATATTTTATCCACTGTTCACATAAAAATATTTAGTATGTATTTAATTATTTATTAAAAAATAAATAAATATAATTTAACTAATACACCAATATTTATAAGCATTTTATAAAAGTTAATAATTATCACAAAATAAAAAAATAAATCAACCAATTTATATTAAATATGAAAAAAAAAGAAAATTTTCTTTACTATCATATATTTTTGTATAGTCTATACAGTTTTTACTATTATTTCGTACTTATATTGCATGTAAATATGTATTTATTTTAATATTATACTGTTTTGTCCTGTATTTAAAAAATAATTTAATACAATTCAAACCCCTCTATAAAACAAATTTTGCTTTGAGTTTGTTTAAAGATGACAATAACCATATTATTCTATTTAATAATATTACATTCATTTTTAATGTTTTTTTAATATCCAATTCTACTCTTATTAAACACTTTTCAGTTCTACTTAAACGGAAATAATGAAATTGTAATATGAAAAAAAAAAAAAAATGAAAACTGAAAAAAATATGGTTATACAAATTTTGATTTTATTTTATGAAAATATGTAGTAATATTTGACGACTGAAAACCGGGTAGTTTAAAATTACCAAGTATACTAATGTAGTAGGTATAGCTTAAAATTTGAACGTAAAATGTCAAAACCATAAGTGAAAGTCAAAATTACTTAACTATAATGATTGAGTTTGAATTGAACTGAATATTTTTTTTATTCATCTTAAATAATATAGTAGTTATTATAGACTGAAAATCGATTCTGTAGAATTGTATAAGTAACAGTTTTCTCATTATACATATTGCCAGACATGTAAAACGATTATTAAGATCAAATGGATGGTCAAGCAGCTGATCGTATTAATGGTTCATTAAAATCATACAATATTAAATAAAGTGTTATTAGTCCAACCAAGCTATAATAATTTAGAAAATATATAGATTGTAAAATAATTAATTTTGTATTTTAATAACATCATAGATCTCTTATATAAAATCCAATGACTAAAATAGAATACTTTTTAAGGAGAGATCCACGAAATGTTATTACTTATTACATTAACAAGTAATAAATTCGTAAAAAGATAGTAAATATTTAGTATATCATTAGAATATTGTTCAAAGAGCTTGTAAAAATTTTTTTTAAAGTTATAGGTTCCTCTCTTATATTATTCACCCCGCTTATAAAATTATTAATAAAATTTCAAGTATTAGAACACTTTTTGATTTAAATAACTTAGGTGACTAGGTAATATAAATTGATAAATCATGTAATGTTCTTTTTTTTTTAACAATTATATAAATAATAAAATAATTTAATCGAAATACGATATACATTATAAAAAGCAACGTAAAAATCCAATATTAAAAAACTCTAAGCTCTCAAAATATTTTACTAAGAATATTAATCAACGATACTCTATCGTTCTTCATTCCAATCTCAAATTTAAAACCGTCTATTAAAAATCTAAACTATTTCACAAAGTTTTCTAAAATTGTCTAATTTTATACCCATAAGTGTTTATCATTTATTAAAAATTTGGCAATCCCCATAATTTACTAATATTTGTCAAATACGTCTCAAACTAAATAATGTGACATTCTAGATGCATCATATTAATATAAATTAAAAATTAAGCATATAGATTTGTAGAGGTACTCAAATAAAATGATTGAAAAAATCAATCTTTGAGTTTCATTAATGGCTTCTCTCCTCAAAGTTTATGCACTGATATAATATTATTATTATCAGTTTTTTTTTTTTAAATATCTCATCCCAATCCTACGTTTATACTTATTATATCTTAAAGTATATATTGTATATTTCTTGTAAGCATTTAAATAAAACAATACATAAAACTACTTGTACTAAAAAAGAAAAAAAGTATCAATTAGTGTATTCTATCATTTATAATTTTTAATAATGAAAAACTTTTAGAAAATCTATTTACTGTTGATATGCAAATAGATCTCTTAAGCTTGATATAGCATTGAATATGTCTTAAACAAAAATGTATTCAATATTATAAAAATATGGTCTGCAAATTATTATAATCAAACATATGTTTTATGACATTTTAGAACACGTGCCAAGACACTTATTAATATTTGTTCTATAATTGAACTAGAATGAAAAATAATATGTTATGAAAAAATACGTATATTGTAATCGTTTCTTTTGTTTATTTATTTTTTTATTATTATTATTATTTCGAGCTAGAAAAAAATAATTTTTTTGAAGACACGTGTCCGTTAAAAACACAGCAGGAGATTTAACTGTGGATGAAGGTGAATTGGTTAAGATGACCAGCACACATTTGTAGTCACTAGTTTTTATGGAAAGTTAAATGAATATGATACTAAAATTAAAGACTAAACACATAAGTATTTTATTACTTATAAGTTTAATAATAAATTCATAAAAAAAATTATTTTATTTTATTTTAATGGAAATATGTAGAGATAAGAGAAAAATAATAAATGGTGTGTATTTATCGTACACATTTAGGTTTTCCAATCGGCATCGGTGTAATAACAATATTTAAAATAGTACCACTTTCGTTTAAGCTTTGATTTGTACAAACCTGTTTCTTGAATTTAAGGCATTTTATAATCAAAATTGAAAATTAAAAAATACATTTTCAAGTACATAATAATATGTTTTGAACGTCTAATTATAGAGCATTACCATTTTCATTAGTATAAAATATACTGGAATATTCATATTATTCAAAAATAATATTTTTCTGAATTGAACACAATTTCTAAAGTTAAATCGCATGTAACTATAATATTATAATATTATACATAGAACACCGTACCTAGATTCTTCAGAAACATCGTTCGTGTTTAATACTGTTTACATAGCGCTTGGACGGACACTTTGACACTTAAAACTTAACCATTGAGGTTAAGGTACTTATCGATAATTCTGCTACTACACTTACAAAAACATTTACACATATACTCACATCACTAAAATCAAGAAGGCGCCGAGCTGGGGACTTTTTGTTATTATATAATTAACACCAGAAGGCGAAGGCATATGTAAACGATCGCGTTTTTTGGAGACCATGACTACACTGCTCCGTACGTGACAACATTTAATCGATCTCGTACGTACTTAATGTATAGATATGTATTCTTTATTATTTATGACGATGAATGGCGATTTCATATTATGACCTTCCCAAAAATTTCAACCCGATATAGTCGACAGGTCAGGGCCGCCGTCGATGACCCATCAGAGCTGTAACACGGTCACGCGCATTCCGCATAATAATATAATAACATTATTACTATAATAACATAATTATTATCATAATATTATAATATTGTTTATTGTCATGGTGAATTGGGAGGGCGAGCTCACGTCGTTGACTTATCATATTCGTCTTACCACCGCTATATACATACACATCTCTTATCCATTACTATATTATAGTATAGGTACATATATGTGTACTTATATAATGTCACCTGAAGTTAATGTGTACAGTGTACACAATTTTTTTACCATAGTATATGAAA